ATAGAAAAAATAAGTTAGAATGGTTTATCTTCTTTAAAAACTCATTATTATTGGTTTGACACCGGTATAAGTTGTTTATTCAAACAATCAAAAGTGTTTATTACTGATGTCACACCATAATAAGTTAATAAGTCGTTTTTTATAAGCAACCTCAGACACCCCTTAACCTATCGTAATGATAAGTCGTTTTCCTTTCTCTTTTTAATTGTTGCAGAAGGTTAAACGTTGCAATTCAAGAGGCTTTGGATGTTTGTGTTCTTAAGGGTCTTGTAGTCGGATCTCATAAAGGATTTATTATCTTTAGTTTGTTGATGACTCAGTATTTTGTATGCGTAAAAATATTGTTTTTACTTACACACACACACACACACACACACACACATATATATATATATATATATATATTGTGCATAAAAATATTGTTTTTACTTTGTTATAGAAAAAAGACAAAAGAATAAGTAAACGACTAAAATAGCCTTTGATTTAATGAAGGCGTTAGTCAGAGGGATCATGACCAAAACAAATTGAATACCACAAGAACCAAATCTACAATAAAAATACTATATGGATCGTACTAAAAAACTATCAAAATATAGGGACCAAACCCACAATTCACTGTATTTTGTAATTTTAAAATAATTATTTGAAAGAGGAGTAGACTCTAATTTTGGTTCTTGAGGTTTAATGGAACATTTGAAAATGGTATATGAACTTTGTTAAGTTTAGAAATCGTCTTTGTGGTTCTTATTTTGTTCTAAAATAGATCTATGATCACTAACCCTGTTAAATGTTATGCGTTAAAAAAGGGTATTTTGTCTTTTCCTTTACTTCCTTGATTATCTTTTAATAAATTAAATATATAAATATATTGTATTATATATGTGTGTATAAAAACTCACAGGACGAGAGCTTCACACTCTCGCCTAGTGATGGCCAAAGCGGCCCGGTCCGATTTGGGACCGCCGAATGACCGGGACCGGCTATGGGACCGCCTGTTACATCCGATTATGGATTTTGTCGATTTTGTGGGCCTGAGACTGGTTACGGGACCGGTTAAGGCCCAGGCCGACATGTGACATCCGTCACCAAACCAGGTTAGTCAACCGTAACTCGAAACCTAACGTTAGCCCTTTTAGTAAATTTATGTGCTCACATGCTTCCTGAAACATAAGGTGTGAAATTTTAGGAGTTGGGTGTGTTCATTTTTTTTCCCCTTAAGTACTCTAGTCATTCTAATAGTAG